CTGTTTATTTTTATCCTAATATTTATTTAACGGAGAGAAGATTTTTTTCAACACATTTCTAAACATAATAGTTTTATTAACTCATTTCTAATAACTGATTTATTTTATCTTTGCCATGATGACAGTAAATAATATTTGACTAGATATTCTTCAAGACACTTCTATACAGCTTACAGTGACATTTAAAGGCTTAACTAGGTTAACTAGGCAGGTTAGGGTAATTAGGCAAGTTATTGTATAACGATGATTTGTTCTGTAGACTTAAAAAAAAAAAAATAGCTTAAAGAGGCTAATAATATGGACCTTAAAATGGGTTTTAAAAATTTTTAAACTGCTTTTATAGCCGAAATAAAACAAGAAAAAAGTGGGCTAATAATTCTGACTTCAACTGCATATGTGACCTTTAAGATGTGGGCATGTTATATAAAAACGTGGTATTTGTATGCCTCTGAAGTGGAATGATGTAATGGATACATGCAGTCAGTAAAGCCAAACGAAGATTGTAGAAATTAAATTGTTGCTCAATAGATGGCGATAAACACCAATCTGAATCTCTGTCACTGTATTCTTTATGTTTGATTGGGCTAATCATTTTTGATTGAAGTCTTTATATGCAGGTTATTCGATCATTAACTAAAAATTAGATTGGAAAAAAAAAAAAAAATATATATATATATATATATATATATATATATATATATATATATATATATATATATATATATATATATATATATATATATATTCCACTGATCTATATTACAAACAATGTTAATTATTATAATAATATACAAAGCTGCACTGCACATATAGTATGCATTGTATGGAAAGATCTAAAAAGCAAATAAACTCTTCTGAACAAAATATTTCCTAGAAAGATCATCCCCAAGTATCATGAGCACTGCTGTTGTGGTTAATAATGAAGTAAAATACAACAAACCAGACAAGTGCTGCACGGGACAAATCAAATGGGTTCAGAAAGTCATGTCACAAGAATGCAAGTCATTATTTTAGAAAATTAATTATTATTATTTGACAGTTTCTCGAGATTGAATCCTCATAAAGTTCATAAAGTTCTCAGAAAGTTTCTTATGATTATGACTTGCAAATTGTATATATATTTAATGGTGTGATTTTTTAACCTGCGTCCAATCCCGGCTAACTTCCGGAAAGGCAGAGTAGCCAATAGCGTTAGAGACAACAAGTAAACCAAGTCCCGCCCCAGGACTGAAATCCAAAATGTTTCGCTCGAGCAGAGAGAAGAACCAGCAAGCGAGCGGAGAGAACTGAACTTGCGAGAGCGTACATCGTGCGCACAGATAATGATGTGCGCGCCCGGGACTTGTTTTCTCATGCTGGATCAGTTGAGCGCGCGCGTGAAGATCCCTTGTACGCTCGCGAGCTGTAGTTTTGTCGCATGTAGCCCTGTAATCTGCTCACGGTTCACTTCTCCTCGGCGCAAACATCACCGCTGCGCTCGATTAATATTGGCATTGATTTGCTGCCATACACCCGGAGGAAACCCACACAAAGGCAGGGAGAACATGCAAACTCCACACAGGAATGCCATCTGAGCCGAGGTTCGAACCAGCGACCCAGCGACCTTCTTGCTGTGAGGCGACAGCACTACCTACTTCACCACTGCCTTGCCTTCACAAAAACAAAAACTGCAAAAAAAGAACGTAGCTCCTGGGACGTATTTTACTCTCTCCAGAAATGTATATGGGGGTACGTAATCAGAATGAGCCTGCGTTGGTCATGATAGTTGTTTCGTTAAGGCCACCTTTGTGGCAAATGCTTTCGATTGCATTTGCTAGGCTTCTTTAGGGTGTGACTGCAGTATTTATTGTTTCGGATTAATTAGTGAGCCTTTTCTACTTGCTTTGTTGTGTCAGATGTGTCACATTGTGATTTGTCCATAATATTTGCATAAGCCCACATACCGTATGCATTGCATGAGTGCTTCAGCAGTGATCACTCACGGTGGTGTTCATGTCTCATAGCTCCCCTCCAAATTACTCCAAAACTGTAGCAAATTTTAGGGGGTTGTGAAATATCTGTCTGGCTGCTGCTGACCTACCCTAAATTGTACACTCTGTCATAGGTATTGAGTGGGTATGGAGGAGGACAACCGTATTCACAAATGAAAAAACAAAACAAAAACATTTGTAGTTTGTATTGAACTTTAGAAAAACAAAGAGTGAGGCAGACATTCTTCATCACCCTCACCACTTTTAATGTAACACTTCAATTACACATACAGACAAAAATGTTTCTCTCCCATCATGTGGCATAAAAACCATTTAGCAATATCACACCTGCACTAAATTTATTCAGCTCGGTCTACTGAAGCAAATTAATCATTCAAAATCACATAATATTACTTTATGCTCTATAGGTTATCAAATAGATCAATTTGATGCTTCAATCTTTGTATTATTTATGTTCTAGTATAAACTCAGTAAAAAGTTTTTGATTTTTTAAAAATCTGTTTAATAATTGATTAAAGCCAGTTTAGCTGTTGTTTTCAAAAAGGTAAACAAATACCAGTGATCATGAATGTGACTTGTGAGAAAATTGGTATAGTGTTTTTTATTTTAAAATTACCTACCATAGTCTTCCTTGCTTCTGATGAAGCTGAGAAGAAAATTACACTTTCTCATATAGGTGTGAACTGTTCAAGGACTCAACAAGTGTGAATTGTCACATAAAAGAATTGAGTTGAAAACTTACATTATATTCAATAATATAACACTTGAGTATCTATTACTTACATTATTGCTCTTTGCTTGTCCAAGGTAACCTGAATGTTTTATATTTTAAAAAGTAATGCAATTCGCATTTACGTTTATTCATAATTGAAAGAAAACTACAAAATATAATGATTTGTCAGTTTAATGTTGATATGTTTCATTAACAGCCTTAGTAAACTTGTAAAAGTGACATACCTAAAACTCAATAGACTCACACTTGGGAATCTGAACCACAGCCGATCGCATTTCCCACAAAGCCTAGATTTTTATGGAACAAAGCAAAATTGTTGACTAATATCGTATTATTTATCTATGGCATGCAAATGTATATAATTAAGTTTATTATTATTAAGTGGGCTGTTCGCTGTTCATGTAAAATTTGATCATGTATCCAAGTCTTTTACAGTAATAAGTATCTTATAAGTATCTCCTAAAATAAGTTTTCTTTTTTTTTCTTTTTTATTTAATGTTATTTGTATTAATCAGATTTTAGTTAAATGTCAAATGTTTTATGTGTATAAAATGAAACGAAAATTAAAAGCAAGACAATCAATCACCACTAGGTGGCAATTGGGGCCGAGAGAACATTAAGTGATGCATTGTAATACGGTTGCTTATACTTAAACTCAATTACAATATTACAAACTTTGTCAGACATCAGACTAATCTCATGAATATTTTACACTATATACAAATGAATATGGTTCATACAGAGAAGGTTATGATTATCTCAGTCCAAGCTGATGTGGAATTGATGTTCATCAAAAATGTAAAACATTTTGTTTTGTTTTGTTTTGTTTTGTTTTATCTTAAATGTTTGTATAAGAAAGTATTTTCATGTGCTGATAAATACTAATTATTATTATTATATTTATTATTATAATAATTATGATTATGTACAGAATACTAGAGACAGATATGTCAAAATAAGGAATTCCATGGCTTAACTTTATACACCTTTTATATAAAAAAACAAATTTAACAAAAGCTTTATAAAGGTTACAAAATAATTTTTTAAAAGTTGTATAAATAGTTTTGATCCTGTGTGTGACTATATAGTTCAGGAACAAACCTGTTTATACACTAAAGTTGTATGTTTTAATCTCTTTTTATTGTTTATATAACCATTTTATTAAAGAATGCCTTAAACTGTTAATGTTTGAGACATTTATTATAAACAAATTATAATTTCTAGTTAAAGTTCATTTTAAATATGCAAAAAAACTTTCAAATATCTTATTTGATAATTATGGATTATTGATAAATGGAAATGTTTATTTATTCATGAAAGTGCTTTCAATTGTTATTCCAACTGAAAACAATTATACTATGACAATCTATCTATCTATCTATCTATCTATCTATCTATCTATCTATCTATCTATCTATCTATCTATCTATCTATCTATCTATCTATCTATCTATCTATCTATCTATCTATCTATCTATCTATCTATCTATCTATCTATCTATCTATCTATCTTTCTATTTATCTATCTTTTTCTTCAACAACAGAAGATTATTTTAAATATATGTATTGTTATCTTTTGCTATTAATATTTTGAGTTAATTAAAATAATATAATGTAATTTAATTATATGCTGTGGTTCATTTTCCTGATCACAATGTTCAACAGCCACTGAAACACTACTAAGCATGCCCATGAATATTTTTTTTTTTATATTAGCTGGTAGTTTTTTTTAACATTTACTGTATTTTTTAAATGAATCAGTTTTATAATTTATTATAGTATTTTGTTTTGTCAAATACTGTTATGGTAATACAATATTTTTATGTTTAGCCTACATGATTGAACTGATGCTCATGTTTCCATAATGAACATATTAAATATTGCATTTTGTATAGTTTGAATATTTTTCTGGTTTAAATATTCAACAACAAAGAGATTGAAAATATATAGCCTTTACCATTGTAATATCAATTGGCATAAATTGAACAACCGTTTATATTAGCCTACTTGTTTTTATTTTTGTGTTTTTTTGTGAAAATTGCGTTGTTTATATTGTAGTAATTAAGGTTGTAATAACAGAAAGTGACACTAACTGTTAAAAAAGGAAAAAAAAACTCTGAACAGATATTGTAAAAAATATTAAATGCTGATTTGTCAACAGGTAGAGCTGTTTAAAGAGTTTAATCAAACAAGCACCTTATATGCATTTCAGTTTCAGTTTCATGCCTATAGTAAATAGAGGAGGAGCTATGAAGTAAACCATGGAGAAGAAGGACAATAGTTCTGATTGGACAGAGTCCATGTACCATCGGCAGCCACTCCTCTTACTACCGCGAAACGACACGAAAATCTTAATAACCACGTGAATATATAACTGAACAAGTTCCCTACAAGCTTTCCAGTTACACGCATCCTTGGGAATTGGTTTTATTTGTCAGGATGGGATGCGTTTTGGATATTTCCGCCGGGTGGTGCATTTCACGGATTTCCCGCAGAATTAATTTTCTGTAATATCTTGCTGAATTTATTTGAAAGGCTCCACAGGACGAAACGGTATGTTTATACATTTGTCCAGTTGGTTGAACATCTAAGTATGTTTTTACGAGGTGGATTGTGATTAGGGTCAATGGGGTTGAAGAAAAGAGATGATAATATAGTTCAGGGGTGAGGGGTGTGTGATTGCATGAATCCTTTCGGTCTGTGCATTTGTGTAGGCTATGTATGAAAATGCATTCAGATTAAATTCGAATATCAACAGGCTGTCGATAAGCTCGTGAATAAGTAACGCGTTCAAGGTCTAGTTTATTAAGAAGTGGGAGGGAACAGACTTGTTTAGGTTTGTAGCCTACCTTTGTTTATTTTGCGCCCGTTTCCTAGAATAATACAGTTTAGTACTGGAAATTGTCATTTTTCTGTGCCTTTAATTTGTACATTTGTTAAACTCTTAAGTAGCCTATTTGTGTAAATCTTATCCATACTTGTATGCAATATTGTAAATAACGCTGACAGTTGACGTTTGGAAATATAAGGTTAGCCTATAGGTTTGTAATTTCAAGACTGTTGAGTTGTCTGTTTCAGGGACTTGCACAGGAAGGTGTTCAAGGTTTCCTAGAAACTTGAGGTAAATTTCGGCTGTCATATTTGGTTGGATTGCTTGTCTGCCTGCTTAGACTTGATTGAATGATCGTTTGGGCCTAGTCTCACTTGTTTATACCCAAAGTTGTTATTATGTAACGGGTAATGTTGTTTTCGGTTGCTGTTTTGCTCAGTCGATCAAACAACGCACAATAGTGTTTAGTTGTTTATTTCTCTAGATGAAACAGCATACCTTTACGAATTTATTGTGTAATAATGACGTAGTAATTATATCTTGAAAATAAAGTGTGTGTAAAAATAACTGAAGGCTTGAAACATTGTTAAAATGACACAAAGTCAAACTTCCTGTTTAGGTCGAGTGCTTTTGTCCATTGTGTCAGCAAACACACACACACAGGCGCACAACTGGCTTTGAGAGAATCGGATCTGAACATAACATGTTTTGTGGTTTGCGTATGTTGGAACAGTCCCTGTTGCAGCTTATACATTGGTATATTTTTTAAGTATTTAATGCGTTAATCGTATTTAGCCTACGTGATAAAATGTTACGTTTTGTTTAAAAACGCATAAGTAGAATATCTGCTGTCGTTTTCAGATGTTTTTTTAAAGCATTTTACATTTATTATTGTTGTAGTTATTATTATAGCCTATTTTGTTTATTTGTTTTCTGCTTATTGTCATAGATTGTGTTTAAATGTTTGAGAAACTAATCTGCTTTGTGAAGGCTTGCGAATTTCTCTGAATGGTAAAAATTATCCAGTGAGGTTTAAAATATATTTTATGAAAGTTTTCTGTTTTTCTGTTAATGTAAATCATATCTGATAGATTCCAACACATGCAGATATGTTTGAATAACAGAAAGGTTACCGCATAGTTTCAGCTACTTAAAGCAGAACCACGTGACCAGCTTTACATTCTTTCTATGTGGCCAGCCTGCAGTTTATAGCAAATGTCTTTGCTGCCTTTTTAATACATTCATGTTTTTTTTTTTTTAAGAAATCATTTTATCAAGGATTTTACTATGTAATCATGATTAGTTGGGATGAAAAGGTAAATTTAAAAATCTTAAAACTCCCATATAAATTTGCTAAATTTGATGAAATGAACATTGTGAAAATGGTTTGCTTCAGTGTTCAGAATGATCATGACCCGGTTTTTGATGTCACAACATGCAAAACCAAAATTAACAGACTGATCTAAATGTTTGTGAAAGTAATGTTATAAGAATCAGATAACTCGTGCATTAAACTTGTCAAATATTCATTCTTGAGTGAAGCATTTCGTTCGGTTTTGAGAGGGAATTGTTAGATTCACATTTTCATTTTTACATTTGCAGACTTTTTCAGCCCACAAAAAACAACATTATTTAAGTTACTGGTTGTATTTAATAATAAAGTGAGATCCCCCACTGTCTTCAAAGCACCTTCCGAGGTTAGATGTTGGTTAAGAACATAATTAGGTTCACTGTAATGGTTGTAAAGCACACACTACTACTTGCAAACTGAAAATTTGTGTCGTTTAAATAGGGTACATTGTTGTACTTTGTGTGGCTATAGAGCTGCATTTGAACCTTTTTTACAGTCCAGGTTTTAAACTAATTTTCAATTTGTTTGAAACTGTTTCTATATTAAACATTTTATACAAGCTTATTGTCGTACATTTTAATCTACAGATTTTTCAATTTGTTGCTGTGTTTGTGGCAAAGCATTCTAATTTCCCAATTAAATCTATTTCTATGTTTTAATAACAACATAAACAAAAATTTGATGTCAATATTGTGTAATCACTAATGATATTTAAATTATAATTAAATTGTAATTATCCTCCATTATTAACACTTAATAAATTGTATGAGTTCTGTTTGTTTGCTTTTTTGTTTAGTTTGTATGGTTGATTTTATTTTAACCATTTTAAGTTTTCAAAAGTTTCAAGTAAGTTTATATTGCAGTGTAAGTACATGAAAAAAAAAAAAAACATTCCTGATGATCAATTAAATTGCAAATTGTTATTGCAAAAGGGTCCTATTTAACTCCACAAGAAAGAATCAGATCCATAATAATCACAATTATTTTAATACATTTTGATTCATTTATTAAATATATTATTTGGTAATAATTGTATATGTACAACATTGTAATAATAAGTATAATATTTATAATAATACTGTACATTGAACACGATACATATTTAGATTCAAACATTAAATATGTTGATTGGTGATAATTGTTACAATCTGAAGAGCAACATAATTTCAGCAATATCACAAAAATGCACAAAACCAGAACTTTTAAGGTTCTTTCAGCTTTTGAGTATACGTTTTGTATTAAATTTGTATTTTAGTTAAAAAATAAAAATAAAAAATGTTGCCTGCTCCACTAAATTGGGTTTATTTTTAAGCTGGGTGTTAAAACAAATTAAATCAGTGCTTTTAAATTTCATGTGAATTAGAAATACAGATCGTTTGAGAGTGTGTGTCAGCAAAGTTATACAGAATCAATCGATGATTTGATCAAATTTATCAAAGCCATTTAATAAACTAAATTAAAAAAACAAAGCATTAAAATTAATGGAGCTTAAATTCTATAGAAGCAAAATTATTGATAGTATAAGATATTTATTTAGTTTGCTGTTTATATAATTAGTTTATAATTATTATCTGAAAGTAAATTGCAAATTGTTTAAAAATCCAATGCTCTTTTTATATCTTCACACAAAAGATGCTTGTTTTGTTTTGCTATTTAACTAAGTTGAAATAACTCAGTTAATAAAACAATTTATAGAACTTTCATTATTTTATTAAGATTTAAAACCTTTTAAATTAAATTTTTTGAGGAGGTAGTGAGTTTATTTATTTATACATGTTTTTGCTGAAGTACATTTTCGGAAAGACTTTTCTTTATTAAATCTGCATAGATGCGGTAGTGCGGAGACAGCGCTACTACAGTCAGTGGAAGTGGGCCAAGGCACCCGGCTTGTGTGTGTGCTCGTGTGTGTGTGTGTGTGTAACTAGAGCCAAGCGGATCAGATGCCACGCTGTGAACAGGACTTCAGTTCTGTCACCCTGTGTCATCTGATGCAGAGGAATCCTGTCACAGAACACATGTTGAATGTAGCTATCATGATTAGAACAGCAGATGAGTGTGGGCAAATGCTATTTTATATTAAGTTGGCTAGTCACTGCTTTTAGTTTATGCACAATGATCTTGTGTATTTGGTCATAAATATAAAGATTATATATTAAAATATTCTGTTTTCTTTATTCGTTATCCTTGTTAGGATTATAAATTACAGATTTGTGTTTTCTTCCTCTGTAACAGCATTCCTTTTCTGCTAATTAGGGCTGTGTAAAAATAGCAGTTTTCAGCAGTGTGATATCTGTTTGAACACTCCTTTTGATTCCTAAAATCCCAACATCAATCTTTTACTCGCATTGTTTCCAGTGTGGGAAATGTATCTGCTCTGCACTTTTTGATTTCATTACATTCTGCTGAACTGACTCACTCCACTGCAGTTGGGATCCTGTTGTTAATTAAAATGTTACATTTAAATGCACTTTTTTGTGTATACAAAGTTAGAAGATTTCCTGTTTTTCTAAAAAATATATATTTTACTGTGGTGGCACTTGCAGTGATGAATTTGTTCCCTTTTATTATTAAATAATTTTTATTAATTTTAACATTTCGTATCAATTTGAACAAAAAAAAAAAAGTTTCACTTAAAACTTTAGCAGAGGAAATTAACAGTGGAAATTAGAATCTCAATATAGGCAAATATGTAATAAAATCAATCAGCATAACAGTTAGCTTTAAAGAAATTGTTTTCATATTTAGCAGAAATGTACTTGTAATTGTTTCTTTGCACTTCTAGGATGTATTGATTAATGTTACTAACAGTTAGGGCAATGATTTTTTAAATTCACATTCACTCTGACTGTATTCTGGTATGTACTGTGAATTCCAGAAATTTTGTCTTAACCCTGTAAAGCCTGACATATGGATTTACTATCATTTTATTTTATTTTTTAAAGAAATGGAACAGTTTGCGAAGGGTCATATTTTATTTAGGCTCATCATACTTTTATAACTCGAGCTTAAACTTGAGGAGTAAAAAAATATATATGATTCTATTCAGTCCAGCTCTTAAGAAAAGACATTTACCATTGAAATTTGTGATCTATACGTACTGTAAAAAAGGTTGGAAAGCAGAAATACAAACTGAGAGAGGGAGAGAGAAACATTTGTTAATTTTTGTTTGATTATGAGCGTTCTTTAGTTTTTATATTGAGTGCAAAGCATACAAGGGAAGTGTATGCAGTGATGACTAAGAGAAGTGCAAACATTCATCAAAAGCCTATCAGGTAGTATTTAATGCTCATATTCTAACATGATTCTTTTTAGAAATGATGTATATAGAAAATAAAGCAAACCTAAGCTGATTCAGTAAAACGATATTGCAGT